TTATTGTTGGTGTGTTTTATTGTTTTGGTGTGTTTTATTGTTTTGGTGTGTATTATTGTTGGTGTGTTTTGGTGTGTTTTATTGTTTTGGTGTGTTTTATTGTTTTGGTGTGTTTTATTGTTGGTGTGTTTTATTGTTTTGGTGTGTATTATTGTTGGTGTGTTTTATTGTTGGTGTGTTTTATTGTTGGTGTGTTTTATTGTTTTGGTGTGTTTACTTGTTTTGGTGTGTTTTATTGTTGGTGTGTTTTATTGTTGGTGTGTTTTGATTGTTGGTGTGTTTTATTGTTGGTGTGTTTTGGTGTGTTTACTTGTTTTGGTGTGTATTATTGTTGGTGTGTTTTATTGTTGGTGTGTTTTATTGTTTTGGTGTGTTTTATTGTTGGTGTGTTCTATTGTTGGTGTGTTTTATTGTTGGTGTGTTTTATTGTTGGTGTGTTTTATTGTTGGTGTGTTTTATTGTTGGTGTGTTTTATTGTTGGTGTGTTTTATTGTTGGTGTGTATTATTGTTGGTGTGTTTTATTGTTGGTGTGTTTTATTGTTGGTGTGTATTATTGTTGGTGTGTTTTATTGTTGGTGTGTTTTATTGTTGGTGTGTTTTATTGTTGGTGTGTTTTATTGTTGGTGTGTTTTATTGTTGGTGTGTTTTATTGTTGGTGTGTTTTATTGTTGGTGTGTTTTATTGTTTTGGTGTGTTTACTTGTTTTGTTGTGTTCTATTGTTGGTGTGTTTTATTTCTTTAGAGTGTATTATTGTTGGTGTGTTTTATTGTTGGTGTGTTTTATTGTTTTGGTGTGTTTTATTGTTGGTGTGTTCTATTGTTGGTGTGTTTTATTGTTGGTGTGTTTTATTGTTGGTGTGTTTTATTGTTGGTGTGTTCTATTGTTGGTGTATTTTGATTGTTGATGTGTTTTATTGTTGGTGTGTTTTGATTGTTGATGTGTTTTGATAGTTGATGTGTTTTATTGTTGGTGTGTTTTGATTGTTGATGTGTTTTATTGTTGGTGTGTTTTATTGTTGTGTTTTATTGTTGGTGTGTTTTATTGTTTTGGTGTGTTTTATTGTTTTGGTGTGTATTATTGTTGGTGTGTTTTATTCTTGGCGTGTTTTATTGCTGGAATGTTTTATTGTTGGTATGTTTTATTGTTGATGTGTTTTATTGTTGGTGTGTTAATTGTTTTGGTGTGTTTTATTGTTGGTGTGTTTTATTGTTTTGTTTTATTGTGGTGTGTTGTTGAATGTGGAACATATGCATAGATATAGTAATGTTGGTCATAAAGATCCAGGTGAGCGATACAGGCCCTCTGGGCCTCTTGTTATCATATTATTATAATGATAAATATTTCTGTTCATATGTTATAGCCTTTTTCCTTGTTATTTTTTATATTCAAAATATACAACAATTTGCTGTGGTTTTGGAATACATTTCACATATAGCCCACTTCACCAGATAGCCCACAATGTTTTCAATCCATTTTTCTTCTTCATGATCCAGCAAAGCTTCAGATTAAAAAATGTCTATGTGGTGTTGAATTACCCCCCCCCCCCTCCACCTCCACCTTTTATACTAGATAGTCATGTTAATACATGCTTCAAGGATCAACCCTACAAACACAAATAAATATACAAAAGGCCTATAAGGCCTGTACATGTCTACTGGTCTGTTGCTGGAATTACTTCCTCTAAATGAAAAGCAGTTAAATTGTTTATTTATTTCCCCTAGTATGAGCCACTTGAAAAGAAAACAAATATGAAAATGGTAATAATAAGTTGAAATGTATATGATTGAATGATCTATGAAAGCATACTAAGTTTTAGTTTGGTCAAAAACTGAAAGAAATTGGTTGGAAACTGAGAGGAGATATTCTGACAAGGTTAACAAAATGAAAGCAACAATGGTCAGAAACTTGTCCAAATACAAATAAATCATCTGCTATTCAAGAAATCACAGCTTCATATTGTGCAGATTAACAGCCTCCCAGCCAATACTATTCTCAGACATCTGAAGGTGTTCAAACATTATGAATAAGTTGACCCCTGTGACCTTGATGGCTTAAAGAAGCATTTGTAACACATTTAAAGAGCTTAAGAGATGAAGCCAGGGAGACTTCGAAGCAGTAAATTACATCTTTCTATTTCTTCCATGGAAACAAAGGTTTTCCAGTAGCAAATACCTGGAAGTTCCTGTAACTGATCCGCAGACATAAAGATTAAGCAAGATCAAATATCTCCCACAGCGGATGTATGAAAAATGACTCAACAAATTCAATCTCTAGAAATATTGACTCTCAACAAATTATAACTATAAATAATGACTCAACAAATTCTATCTCTATAAATAATGACTCAACAAATTCTATCTATAAATAATGGCTCAACAAATTCTATCTCCATAAATAATGACTCTCAACAAATTCTATCTCTATAAATAATGACTCAACAAATTCTATCTCTATAAATAATGACTCTCAACAAATTCTAACTATAAATAATGACTATCAACAAATTCTATCTCTATAAATAATGACTCTCAACAAATTATATCTCTATAAATAATGACCCAACAAATTCTATCTCTATAAATAATGACTCTCAACAAATTCTATCTCTATAAATAATGACTCAACAAATTCTATCTCTATAAATAATGACTCTCAACAAATAATCTAACTAACTGTAAATAATGACTCTCAACAATGATTCTAACTCTGTAAATAATGACACAACAAATTCTATCTCTACAAATATTGACTCTCAACAAATTATAACTATAAATAATGACTCTCAACAAATTCTATAACTAACAAATTCTATCTCTATAAATAATGACTCAACAAATTCTATCTCTATAAATAATGACTCTCAACAAATTCTATCTCTACAAATAATGACTCTCAACAAATTCTATCTCTATAAATAATGACTCAACAAATTCTATCTCTATAAATAATGACTCTCAACAAATTCTATCTCTACAAATAATGACTCTCAACAAATTCTATCTCTATAAATAATGACTCTCAACAAATTCTAACTCTGTAAATAATGACACAACAAATTCAATCTCTACAAATATTGACTCTCAACAGATTCTATCTCTATAAATAATGACTCTCAACAAATTCTAACTCTGTAAATACTGACACAACAAATTCTATCTCTACAAATATTGACTGTCAACAAATTCTATCTCTACAAATAATGACTCTCAACAAATTCTATCTCTATAAATAATGACTCAACAAATTCTAACTCTGTAAATACTGACACAACAAATTCTATCTCTACAAATATTGACTGTCAACAGATTCTATCTCTATAAAGAATGACTCTCAACAAATTCTATCTCTATAAATAATGACTCAACAAATTCTATCTCTATAAATAATGACTCTCAACAAATTCTATCTCTACAAATAATGACTCTCAACAAATTCTATCTCTATAAATAATGACTCTCAACAGATTCTATCTCTATAAAGAATGACTCTCAACAAATTCTATCTCTATAAATAATGACTCAACAAATTCTATCTCTATAAATAATGACTCTCAACAAAAGCTATCTCTACAAATAATGACTCTCAACAAATTCTTTTTCTATAAATAATGACTCTCAACAAATTCTATCTCTATAAATAATGACTCAACAAATTCTATCTCTATAAATAATGACTCTTAACAAATTCTATCTCTATAAATAATGACTCTCAACAAATTCTATCTTGATAAAAAGGACTCTCAACAAATTCTATCTCTATAAATAATGACTCTTAACAAATTCTATCTCTATAAATAATGACTCTCAACAAATTCTAACTATAAATAATGACTCAACAAATTCTATCTCTATAAAGAATGACTCTCAACAAATTCTATCTCTATAAATAATGACTCAACAAATTCTAACTCTGTAAATACTGACACAACAAATTCTATCTCTACAGATATTGACTCTCAACAAATTCTTTTTCTATAAACAATGACTCTCAACAAATTTTATCTCTATAAATAATGACTCTCAACAAATTCTATCTCTATAAATATTGACTCTCAACATATTCTATCTCTATAAATAATGACTCAACAAATTTTATCTCTATAAATAATGACTCTCAACAAATTCTATCTATATAAATATTGACACAACATATTATAACTCTATAAATAATGACTCAACAAATTCTATCTCTATAAATAATGACTCAACAAATTCTATCTCTATAAATAATGACTCTCAACAAATTCTATCTCTATAAAGAATGACTCAACAAATTCTAAATCTATAAATAATGACTCTCAACAAATTCTATCTCTATAAATAATGACTCTCAACAAATTCTATCTCTATAAATATTGACACAACATATTCTAACTCTATAAATAATGACTCAACAAATTCTATCTCTATAAATAATGACTCAACAAATTCTATCTCTATAAATAATGACTCTCAACAAATTCTATCTCTATAAAGAATGACTCAACAAATTCTAAATCTATAAATAATGACTCTCAACAAATTCTATCTCTATAAATAATGACTCTCAACAAATTCTAACTCTATAAATAATGACTCTCAACAAATTCTAACTCTATAAATAATGATAACTGTCATGTGTTAAGAAAAATATTTAATACCAATCACAAAATAATTCCCCCTAAAATATTCACATTTATTGGCAAAGATTTCACAATTCAAAAGGTCAGCACAGTTTGTGATCATACATAGATTTATTTTAGTCATTACTCTGCAGGAGGTAGTCTAGTGTTTCCAAACCATTTGTTTTTGTAGGAGCTACATCCAGTTTAAAGTTCACTCTAATTTCATTCTGCTCATACAACATGATAGTAAGGGAACCAGGGAACCAGGAATATACACACAAACATCTAGGCCTGGCAGTCAAAATAGCAAAAGGATAACACTTTTGGAAGTGTGTAGTAAAGAACTTAACACAGAAAATATCTAGATTGATACATGTAAAAGATTTAATCAAGATTATAATAGGCAATATATAAGTTTTGTATCAAACCACAGAATTATTATCTATTAAATTATCATTACTTATATATGAACGTATGTAATATTGCAGTGTTACTTGAAAGCCACAGATTGTTAGGAGTAAGAAGATTACAGTAAAGTTATTTTGTAAGCTTTTGACAATTTCTGTCTCGCTAGCAGGTCCAAAGAAAACACTGGGTCTTTACTAAGTGGTCCAGTGTCACTCCTGGAATCTGTCTGGCTGGTCATACAGAAAAACGTTTCATTGTTGATGGTCTTGTTTCCATAGCAACTGCCTCCATGTGACCTTCCAATCATAATTAATATTTAAATACTATTTAAAATATCTTTGTATGACAGATGAAATATCATAACAGTGAGCAAATATACATTACCAATTGTTTCAGGTAAAAAGTTTCTGATTTTAAATCTTTAAACAAATGAAAACCCAAATTTTAAAACTTTACTTTGAAAGACTGTTTGACTCTTCATACAGTTACCTGATAATATTGTATACAGCTAAGTGTCTGATGTACATATAGGATGAATTATTTCTGAAAAATTATAATTAACTAACAAATGATAATGACTGTATAGCATGGAATAATCTGCTGTCTGTAAAGTCTACAACAGATGCTGCATGATTAAATTGTGGGCTGTTAAAATTGGCCTTCATCTGTGGTTCATCGAACAGGTATAAAAAAAATGGGGATAACTCTATAGTAAGGTGGTATCAGACTCTACCTCAATGCTAAACCTAAGAGGTGAAAAATAGTAAAAGAATAAATGAGATATGTGTATGTAGGTTGTTTTAGTTCAACACACTGCCTGAGCTATCAGAGCCACTTTATGAAAGTCAAATTGTACAAACTGAATGTATGGAATCTCACAATAGGAAAGAAGAATCATGTAAGGTAGACAAACCTGAATATCACATTGGCCATGCCCGGGTTTTCTTCAAAATCACTGTGCATTTGTCCAGCGAGACGATGGAATTCTTCATCTTCTCCTGTCAGTGGCTCCAGAACATTACCTACTCATATAAAGTCATACACTAACTGGGAATAGGAACCCATTATTTCAAAGTTTCAGAAAAAAATAATCACAAAACTTTTCGACAATATCAAATATTATATCTGCAAGTATCTTGAGACTTGGCTTTCTTTATGGTTTAATGGTTAGTGCATGCTTTCTTTTATGGTTTAATGGTTAGAACATGCTTTCTTTATGGTTTAATGGTTAGAACATGCTTTCTTTATGGTTTAATGGATAGCGCATGCTTTCTTTATGGTTTAATGGTTAGAACATGCTTTCTTTATGGTTTAATGGTTAGCGCATGCTTTCTTTATGGTTTAATGGTTAGCGCATGCTTTCTTTATGGTTTAATGGTTAGAACATGCTTTCTTTATGGTTTAATGGTTAGAACATGCTTTCTTTATGGTTTAATGGTTAGCGCATGCTTTCTTTATGGTTTAATGGTTAGAGCATGCTTTCTTTATGGTTTAATGGTTAGAGCATGCTTTCTTTATGGTTTAATGGTTAGAGCATGCTTTCTTTATGGTTTAATGTTTAGCGCATGCTTTCTTTATGGTTTAATGGTTAGAACATGCTTTCTTTATGGTTTAATGGTTAGAGCATGCTTTCTTTATGGTTTAATGGTTAGAACATGCTTTCTTTATGGTTTAATGTTTAGCGCATGCTTTCTTTATGGTTTAATGGTTAGAGCATGCTTTCTTCAAGTTACATATCATGGTAAACCATACAAAGAGAATAGTCAAAAGTTCTTAGTTTATGAGTATGATATTCTATAAAAGGGAGAAAATGAGCATGCAGATTATTGGCATGCTACAGTCTGGAATAATTTGACAAGGCAGTTAAGGATAGACATTACCATGATCAATTCTTTGTGGAGGCAAATTTTCAGCTAATTAACATAATATCCAATGTAACGTATTTATTCCAATAAACGCCCCGGGGCATGAAATTTTTCAGACTGGGGGCGATTAATAGAACACAAAATTTCATAATTTGTTGGTCGTGCCACTTAAAAACATTGTTTAACAAACTAACGAATTACTCAGCAAAGAATGCATTTGAAAATTGCAGTAATTTCAACATCGTTGTAGCTTTAAACATTGTTGTCAATTGCATTCTGATAACCTGAATTCTTGTATGAAATGACACGATGTCAATCGTGTCAGCTTCAGTCAAAAATGTACAATGTTCATCATCGCTTGTAGGCCTAGTTTGCATAACAAAATAAAAAACACAGCGGTATATAAGCCAGTCTGTTTCTTAATAAATCCCATATACATGATAACAACGTCTGGGACAAAACGAAATTACGACACTGCTTTCAAGCTTACAGTAATCGCCTTCGCAGAGGAGAAGGGTAAACATGCCGCCGCATAAGTGTTTCGTGTTGACAGAAAACGAGTGCGGGACTGGTGTCAAAACAAAGAAAAATTAAAAAATCTTTCTGAAACATCTAAACGCTGTAAAGGAGATGGGAGGCATGTCAGATATGAAGATATTGACAAAAATCTGATGAGATGGCTACAGGACAGACGGGAGGCCGGAATACGAGTGACTGGGAAAGCATTACGGTTTGAGGCCCTGCGTATGCATAAGGCAAATGGTAGTCAATCGTTCAAAGCCTCATATGGATGGTTTTCTAAATTCAAAAATAAACATAACATTTCGTTCAGGCGATCTACGCATGTGGCACAACATGAAGTTTCATTAATTGATGATTGTATTGACAGTGTTTTGAAGTTCGTGTTAAGAATGCGTCGGCTACGAGAATATCCCGATAGCCATATCGCTAACATGGACGAAATCCCGGTGTGATTTGACATGCCAGGAAAATCGACATTGGCAATAAAGGGGGAAAAGGAGGTCAGAGTTTACAGTACTGACCACGAAAAACAAAAAATAACGGTGACACTGGCAGCATATGCCGATGGGACTAAAATCGCCCCCCTTGCGCACATGCCAGGCATTCGTCCCCTTCCGAAAGATGACATACCAAGTGGTATTGTGGTATACATGTGAAGGGCCGGACAAAAATCCTGGGCAAATGAGGAAAGTATAAAATTTTGGTTAAAAAAAATCTGGGGTGTGAATAATACAGCTAGGCGGTTATTAGTATGGGATGCTTTCCGTGGTCATCTTACTGAAGATGTAAAAAAACTGGTTCGTCAAAAATATAATTCAGACATCTGTGTTATACCCGGAGGATGTACATGTAAGCTACTGCCAGCCGATGTGTCGTGGAATAAACCCTTCAAACAAAAACTTGGAGAGTTGTATGACGAATGGTGTTTCAGTGGCCCCATTGAGAAAACCAAAGCAGGGAATCGTAAAGCCCCATCTAAAGCTGTAATGTTGTCTTGGGTCAAGACAGCATGCGATAGCATTAGCCCGGACACAATCAGAAGATCATTCAAAAAATGCGGTATCACAAATTTGTTGGACGGTAGCGAGGATCATATTTTCCAGCATGATTCTGACGATGAGGAATTCCAGGGGTTTAGTGAAAAGGATGTCCAAGCTGCAGATGACATTTTGCAAAATTTAATGGGTGATGTAAACGCGCCTTCTATTCCACAAATAGAACTGAGTGAAAGTGAGACTGGCGAAAGTGAAAGTGAAAGTGAAGACAGTAGTTCGTACGGCAGTCCCGGCCGTTAGGCCTGCAGTATATTGAAATAAACTGTGGATTAAATTGATATTACTTGTGTACATGTCGTGACAGTTAATTTTCCTGTGCCAAAATTCCTTTGTTCATGTTCATGGATACCAGGAATTTCAAATTTATTACAAGGTAAGCTTTGTAACCTGAGTCCTGAGTTGTTGAAATTTACTAAGAAAACAGGTGGGGCGTTTATTAGAGACGGGGCGTTTATTGGAATAAATACGGTATATGGGTCCACACATCAGCTAGCCAGTCACATCTGATGTCAGGTGAAGATGTAAAGGCAAAGTATCGATGTCATCATTTCTTGTTGATAACTGTTGGATGTAATGAAGAATCACATCAAGAACTGTATAAATACTGTTGTCTAGGTGTGTTTAGTTGGTCAGGACAGTGTAATTCAGTGTAGTGTGAGTGTTGTCTAGGTGTGTTCAGTTGGTCAGGACAGTGTAATTCAGTGGAGTGTGAGTGTTCTCTAGGTGTGTTTGTTGGTCAGGACAGTGTAATTCAGTGTAATGTGAGTGTTGTCTAGGTGTGTTTAGTTGGCCAGGACAGTGTGTAATTCAGTGTAAGTTCGTGTCATCATGTTGTTAGTGTGTTTAGTTGGCCAGGACAGTGTAATTCAGTGTAGTGTGAGTGTTGTCTAGGTGTGTTTAGTTGGTGTAATTCAGTGTAGTGTAATTCAGTGTAGTGTGAGTGTTGTCTAGGTGTGTTTAGTTGATCAGGACAGTGTAATTCAGTGTAGTGTGAGTGTTGTCTAGGTGTGTTTAGTTGGCCAGGACAGTGTAATTCAGTGTAGTGTGAGTGTTGTCTAGGTGTGTTTAGTTTCCCAGGACAGTGTAATTCAGTGTAGTGTGAGTGTTGTCTAGGTGTGTTCAGTTGATGAGGAGAGTGTAATTCAGTGTAGTGTGAGTGTTGTCTAGGTGTGTTTAGTTGGCCAGGACAGTGTAATTAAGTGTAGTGTGAGCGTTGTCTTCCAGCATGAAATAACTGTGACAGTGTAATTCAGTGTAGTGTGAGTGTTGTCTAGGTGTGTTCAGTTGGTCAGGACAGTGTAATTCAGTGTAGTGTGAGTGTTGTCTAGGTGTGTTTAGTTGGTCAGGACAGTGTAATTCAGTGTAGTGTGAGTGTTGTCTAGGTGTGTTCAGTTGGTCAGGACAGTGTAATTCAGTGTAGTGTGAGTGTTGTGTAGGTGTGTTTAGTTGGCAAGGACAGTGTAATTCAGTGTAGTGTGAGTGTTGTCTAGGTGTGTTGAGTTCGTCAGGACAGTGTAATTCAGTGTAGTGTGATCGTTGTCTTCCAGCATAAAATAACTGTGACAGTGTAATTCAGTGTAGTGTGAGTGTTGTCTAGGTGTGTTCAGTTGGTCAGGACAGTGTAATTCAGTGTAGTGTGAGTGTTGCCTCACAGTGTTCAGTTGTCAGGACAGTGTAATTCAGTGTAGTGTGAGTGTTGTCTAGGTGTGTTCAGTTGGTGAGGACAGTGTAAGTCAGTGTAGTGTGAGTGTTGTCTAGGTGTGTTCAGTTGGTGAGGACAGTGTAATTCAGTGTAGTGTGAGTGTTGTGTAGGTGTGTTTAGTTGGCCAGGACAGTGTAATTCAGTGTAGTGTGAGTGTTGTCTAGGTGTGTTTAGTTGGCCAGGACAGTGTAATTCAGTGTAGTGTGAGTGTTGTCTAGGTGTGTTTAGTTGGTCAGGACAGTGTAATTCAGTGTAGTGTGAGTGTTGTCTAGGTGTGTTTAGTTGGTCAGGACAGTGTAATTCAGTGTAGTGTGAGTGTTGTCTAGGTGTGTTTAGTTGTTCAGGACAGTGTAATTCAGTGTAGTGTGAGTGTTGTCTAGGTGTGTTCAGTTGGTGAGGACAGTGTAATTCAGTGTAGTGTGAGTGTTGTCTAGGTGTGTTTAGTTGGCCATGACAGTGTAATTCAGTGTAGTGTGAGTGTTGTCTGGGTGTGTTGAGTTGGTCAGGACAGTGTAATTCAGTGTAGTGTGAGTGTTGTGTAGGTGTGTTTAGTTGGCATGGACAGTGTAATTCAGTGTAGTGTAAGTGTTGTCTAGGTGTGTTTAGTTGGCCAGGACAGTGTAATTCAGTGTAGTGTGAGTGTTGTCTAGGTGTGTTTAGTTGGCCAGGACAGTGTAATTCAGTGTAGTGTGAGTGTTGTCTAGGTGTGTTTAGTTGGCCAGGACAGTGTAATTCAGTGTAGTGTGAGTGTTGTCTAGGTGTGTTTAGTTGGCATGGACAGTGTAATTCAGTGTAGTGTGAGTGTTGTCTAGGTGTGTTCAGTTGGTCAGGACAGTGTAATTCAGTGTAGTGTGAGTGTTGTCTAGGTGTGTTTAGTTGGCCAGGACAGTGTAAGTCAGTGTAGTGTGAGTGTTGTCTAGGTGTGTTCAGTTGGTGAGGAGAGTGTAATTCAGTGTAGTTTGAGTGTTGTCTTTCAGCATGAAATAACTGTGACAGTGTAATTCAGTGTAGTGTGAGTGTTGTCTAGGTGTGTTCAGTTGGTCAGGACAGTGTAATTCAGTGTAGTGTGAGTGTTGTCTAGGTGTGTTTAGTTGGCCAGGACAGTGTAATTCAGTGTAGTGTGAGTGTTGTCTAGGTGTGTTTAGTTGTCCTGGTCAGTGTAATTCAGTGTAGTGTGAGTGTTGTCTAGGTGTGTTCAGTTGGTCAGGACAGTGTAATTCAGTGTAGTGTGAGTGTTGTCTAGGTGTGTTTAGTTGGCCAGGACAGTGTAATTCAGTGTAGTGTGAGTGTTGTCTAGGTGTGTTTAGTTGGTCAGGACAGTGTAGTGTGAGTGTTGTCTAGGTGTGTTCAGGTGGTGAGGACAGTGTAATTCAGTGTAGTGTGAGTGTTGTCTAGGTGTGTTTAGTTGATCAGGACAGTGTAATTCAGTGTAGTGTGAGTGTTGTCTAGGTGTGTTTAGTTGGCCAGGACAGTGTAATTCAGTGTAGTGTGAGTGTTGTCTAGGTGTGTTTAGTTGGCCAGGACAGTGTAATTCAGTGTAGTGTGAGTGTTGTCTAGGTGTGTTCAGTTGGTCAGGACAGTGTAATTCAGTGTAGTGTGAGTGTTGTCTAGGTGTGTTTAGTTGGCCAGGACAGTGTAATTCAGTGTAGTGTGAGTGTTGTGTAGGTGTGTTTAGTTGGCCAGGACAGTGTAATTCAGTGTAGTTTGAGTGTTGTCTTTCACCATGAAATAACTGTGACAGTGTAATTCAGTGTAGTGTGAGTGTTGTCTAGGTGTGTTTAGTTGGCCATGACAGTGTAATTCAGTGTACTGTGAATGTTGTCTAGGTGTGTTCAGGTGGTGAGGACAGTGTAATTCAGTGTAGTGTGAGTGTTGTCTAGGTGTGTTTAGTTGGCCAGGACAGTGTAATTCAGTGTAGTGTGAGTGTTGTCTAGGTGTGTTTAGTTGCCCAGGACAGTGTAATTCAGTGTAGTGTGTGTGTTGTCTAGGTGTGTTTAGTTGGCCAGGACAGTGTAATTCAGTGTAGTGTGAGTGTTGTCTAGGTGTGTTCAGTTGGTGAGGACAGTGTAATTCAGTGTAGTGTGAGTGTTATCTAGGTGTGTTTAGTTGGCCAGGACAGTGTAATTCAGTGTAGTGTGAGTGTTGTCTAGGTGTGTTTAGTTTGTCAGGACAGTGTAATTCAGTGTAGTGTGAGTGTTGTCTCGGTGTGTTGAGTTGGTCAGGACAGTGTAATTCAGTGTAGTGT